GTCACCGGAACAATTTTGGTTAGGTTTATGGTGGTTTGGACAGTCATATAAAGCTTCACATTTGCTTATGTGCACTTAAAACCCCTTTGGTATAAAGCTTATGATTTGGGCACTCATATAAAGCTTCTGGTTTGTGCATGTACAACCCCTTTGGGATCACACTTGCATATTAAAGCTTCACTGTCACATAAGTTCTTATTTCACCTCAGTCCATAAAGATTTTTGGAACACCAAATCCTTACTCATAACAACTTACCATAATTCAAACAATGTTCTTATAACAAAACAACAATACAAACACTTAATACTCATTCAGTCATCACATCAAACACCTACCAACCTAAAAATCATGCAATAATTTCATCGCCAGAATTATAACAACAAACGACATCAACCATAACATCTTCATCTTCACACTGAATTTCTCATTCTTAGCCATTGCCACTATGATTTCTCCATTTTGTTTCTGCAAATCATTGATCCCACGCAAGCAAGAGTGCATTTCAGTCTGCAATTCCAACAGCTTAACCTTCAAAGCTTCTTCGACATTTGAAATCTTGTCAAAGACAGATTCCATGGTTTCAAATGACATTCCACATGCATTTTCTTCAACCCATTCAAAGAAATTTCATTTTTCAACACCAACCGCCATATATCTACCACAACCATGGAAGTTTCTCCCTTTGTTCTTCTCTGTAGTTGTTGTCCAAATTGGCGCTTGGATACCACACTCGCACCTCTTAATCCATTCACTTCGTACATCAGTTCGCCGGGTGTTTGCACTGGAGTTGGATTTCGAAGAGCTCATTTGTACACCTCCTTTACCCCTTTAACAAAGTCTTTGTCTTATGAATGCTCTTGCTCTCTAAGGAAATTAAAAGACTTAATTCATGCCTTATTTAAAATAATTCGTCTGACCTAGAAAAAATACACCCACGCGGCCTCCATTTTGACGGAATAAGTGTCCACGTCATTAATTTTTAACGGCCAATGGGCTGAGACCCCTGTGGTGCTAATGGAAGGAAACCACGATTATGTGTTTGGGAAAAAATGAAACTCATGACCCTCTCCGTAAATGACTTTAACCACAGGTAGGCTATCCGTACTTTTCCCTACTTTTTATGCCTAATCCTAGGACTTGTGATTATGTTTGAGATTTATATCTCGATGTTCGCTTACGAGTTTCCAACATCTTAATAATATAGAGTTAAAACAACTCTAGTTCTTCGATTATTTGTCTGACATACTTTTAATACTCGCGGGTAGTTATATGGAGATACCACTAGTAATATCTTAAGAGAAAATTAAGTTGATTGTAGATAAAGAAAGGTATTTGATAATAAATTATACGTGAACTCTTACATCTATCCGCAATTGAGCTATTTATACTAACCATAAATGCTAGGTGTATTAGATGCACGTACACGTATAAAATAGCTTATGTGTGAAGCCCTATAACATACAAAAATTAGACATGTGGCGTTAGAGGAAATTGATATGACGCAGACAAGGACCCCGTTTGGATAGTAGCGGTTTGAGCAAATCGCGGATTGTTTTGAATTGCAAAACGCTGCATTTTGCGGCGGTTAGGCAGCAATCCGCTAAAAAGCACACGGGACCAAGGTCCTCATCTTAGATGGAGGATCGTACTGATTTCTTCAATGTTATTTGGTGAAGTCTCGTCCCGGGCGAGGGGCTTGAGGCCAAGGCATCTAGGTGGAGGGATCGGCCTTGAGGCCAAGGCATACAGGTCAAGGGATCAGCATGGATCTATACAGAGAGCCCGTTTGGTAGCACGAAAATCGGCTGATTTGGCTGATTCTGCTGAAATTTATGAAGTTCTGGGTGAAGTGGCTGCATTGGCTGATTCTGCTGATTTAAGAAAAAAATATTCTTAAAATATAAATCAAGAAAAATTATACCGTATGGCCGGCATACCATGCGCATGGTATGCCTGGTCATAATACGGCACCGTTTTATTAATTAAAAAGGGGACTGCTTGTTCCGTATAGTTCACCGGTGCCGCCGACGTTGTTATTACGCAGCGACGCAAGAAGCAAGACAAGCCGACAAAACGATTCAGCTATTATTCCATTAATCCAGCGAACGAGAAAGCCACGATGCTCCTTGTTGCAGATCGTTAACCAGCTGGTGCCCATGATTAGCAACGGTGCTCCTTGTTGCTGAACGTGAGAAGGAAGCAGATTGTTAATTAGCTAGTGGTCATGATTATCTTTAATTCTCCACTGATGGCTTATCTTCTTTACTGGCAGAAGTGATCTTTGCTTTTATTTACCTTACATGAATGATCAGACAATTTATATGTATGTATATGTGTGTGTGTGTGTGTGTGTGTGTGTGTGTGTGTGTGTGTTTAATATTTGAAGTTTCACCTTTTTATAAGCGAGTTACATCTTCTGAAGCGTGAGTTACATATTTTGAAGCGCGAGTTACATCTTTTGAAGAGCGAGTTACATGTGAATTTTCCTCTGCAAGTTACATGTTGTTTACACATGATTTACAGTTTCCATAATGTGAGTTACACTACGATGAGTTACATTTGAATACATTGTATTTACCATAACAATAGCGCGAGTTACATATCAAAACAAAGGATTTACATCACGAAAAAAATTGAGACAAATGCAAGGGTACTGTTCACGCGAATTTTATCCCTGGTAGTACGGTGCTCACCATGCACCGGTTGCACGGTATACGGACTGCTAAAATAGTCATCTACAGTAACTTCAGCCAAAGCAGCCAGAAAAGTAACTCTAACCTTACTTTTCTGCTTATTACACAATTCAGCGCGCGAAGACAAAAGTTACGTGTTTGGTGAAAAAGTTGGTTCATAAGCCTGATAAGCCGAAAAACTGTGATTCCAAATGGCATTCTGAAGGTGCTTCAACTAGCCGAGGGGCCATACCAAATATCCATGAGTGTTTGAACCATGTGCCTGGTCTCATATACTCCCAATTTTAGGCTTTTAGCCCTTCAGTATATTATAAGAAAACATCATTAACAATATAACTAGAGTTAATAAGTGTGAATTGTTCGTATAAAGTGTAAATCAACTTTTGACAATCCTAAATAAAAAATATAAATACAAATTTTTAGAAGGTTAGTTATGTAACTAAAGGTAACAAGTGTTCATGACCCACAAATGCCACAATATTATATTATTGGAATATAGGGAGTATTTGTGACAAGAATTCTTCTTGTGCACCCTTTACTGTTTACAAACTTGCACACACTGTCTGTGAAAGCCTTTTTTTTATCACACTTCAGACTTGCACAAAAAGGTAACAGATGTAACTCACGCTTCAGAAGATGTAACTTGCACAAACTTGTACACCCTGTGACAAACAAAAAAAGTCTTCACAGACAGTGTGTACAAGCGTGTAAATAGTAAAAATATGTTCAAAAGGCTTTTTAGTATCTGTAAGTCTCGTTTATAAGGTTTTAAATTATTCGAGAAACAATATGGCGATAATTTAAAAGTCAAAATCTCGAAAAAAGAATCTAATTTGTGAAAAACATGATTAAGGATGTATCAAAATCTCAATAGACGTATCAAGTCAAATCAGAAAACTAAGGGCCTGTTTACTAACAGAGATATTTTCCTGTTTTCTACTTCTGTTTTTCGTTCTCCAATTTTCTGTTTTTATTTTTCAGTTTTTCTATCTCCAATTTTCTGTTTCTATTTTTTAGTTTTCCATTTTCAAATCTAAAAACATGTTCATCAATTTTTTTACTCAGATCTCCAATTCCACACCCTTGACCCCTACCCTTACCACGATCTTGCACTCTATCCATACTCCCCCACAACCCTTCATACCCATCCATACCTACTCGTAGCGGTCGGGGTAGGGAAGTTATGGGTGGGGGTGGGGTAAGGGGTATGGTCGGGGTGGTAAGGTCTAGGGGTAGGGGGTTGGGTGGGGGTAGTGGGTGGGTTAGGGTCGTGGTTAGGGGTAAGGGTGGGGTAGTGGGTAGGGTTTGGGGTAAGGTAGAGGTAGGGTATGGAGTTGGGATAGGATGGCGGGTAGGGTGGGGGCCGAGACCGGGGTGGGGCCGAGGTAGGGAAGGGGTGGGGGTAGGATGGCGGTAAGGGTGGGGGGTAGTGGGTAGGGTTGGGGTAAGGTAGGGGTAGTGGGATAAGATGGCGGTAGGGTGGGCCCGGGATCTGGGTGGGGCCGAGGTAGGGGAAGGGTAGGGTGGGGGTAGGATGGTGGTAGGATGGCGGAAGTATGGGTGGACTCGAGCCGGTTCGGGCCCGGTTCGGGCCCGGGTCGGGCCTCTGGTTCAGGAATGGGGGGCCCGGAACAGTGTCGGGCCGGGCCGGTTCCACCTCTAGGCGGAAGGGTGCTGGTAGGATGGCGGTACGAGGGTGGGGGTAGGATGGCGGTGGGGTGAGGCCGAGGTAGGCGCATGTGGTAAGGGGTAATATACGGGTGGGGGTAGGGTAGGGTGGGTCGGGGTGGGGTCGAGGTGGTAGGGGGGTGGCGGTAGGGTGGATCGGGGTGGGGCCGAGGTAGGGGCATGTGGTAGGGGGTGGGGTAGGGTCATTATAGGGAAAAATGGGTATGCGGGGTGGGATTGGGTGGGTAAGGTAGGGTAGGGTAGGGGTAAGGGGTAAGGTACGAGGATGGAGGTACCGGAATGGAATCGACATCGGAGCGGGACTGGACCCACCACTAGGTGTACGTATGCAAATTCATTGCAACGGCACTATAGCATCTGCGTTTTCTAAATTTGGAAAACTAGTAAAAGTCACTTCTCCAAATCATTAAGGAAAAGAGAGACATGTCTCATTTTTTCCGTTTTGGAAAACGATTTGGTAAACGCGTTTTTCTTTTTTCCTTTCTCCAGTTTTCCAGGAATTTCTTTGGTAAACACGTTTCCTGTTTTCTGTTTTCCAATTTTCTGGAAAACTGGAAAATATCTCTGTTAGTAAACAGGCCCTAAATATTCTGGGGAGTGGGTAATAAGCTGTTAGCTGTACAAGTTAATCAACAAGCTTGAACCAACTGCTGCTGTACACTCGTTTTCCAGTACTAAAAGGGCAACTTTAATAATAATGTTTATAATAATGCTGAATAATAATTAATTGATATGAACAAGAGACAAGAACCAAGGCTCCAAGTTATTTACAAAACGATTAACCGGACAATCTTGTCCAGAAATCGGAAAGACTTGCGCATATCTTGCAAACATCTGTTCTTATGGTTTCTAGGCCAATGCTGACTCAGCATGTTGAGCTTCTCCCTCACTCCTTGCAGCAATTTTTCTTCATTTCCGTTCCATCTGTACATTTCTAACGCCCTTCCTTCTCCTCCTCCTCTTATCAACTTCTCACAAACCTGATCATTGTTACAAACAATATAAAATTTGCACTTTCATATTCTCATAATTATTAATGCAAAATTACATAACAAGTGCCTATCAATCATTTACTTAATCCGGAGTATATCTTTGTGAATAGTGAAATAGCAAAGCAGATAAGCTGAAGAAGCTGCTGATTCAATACTTGTTTAAGTTGTTTTCCTGAAAGAAGATACTCTTTGTCAAATAAACGATCTTACATCGGCTAAATGGAAACTTATATAAGATTTTTAACTACTCCTTATGGCAGGTTAAACCTTTAGAATGACCGTCAAATCTTACTATGATATCATTGATTGACTACTCATCCAAATGTCCTTTTAAGGAGAAATCTTTTGCATAATATTACCTTAAATAGTTAAATCTCTTTTGCACAATATTTGCCCCATCCTAGAATGAAGTTCTCTTCCATTATTACTCAGCCAACTTAACTCTCTCTCAGTCTTTGGTTCTCTATACTCCAAATAAGATTTTTATCATATTTGAATTCAGAATTTGCGCTTCATTACAACGTCTAGTTTCTCAATTCGTACATTTTAATTATTGATAGTACTTAACAAATTAGCATTGGATGAGTTAACTTTATCAGCAGTTAAACACCATAAACCAAAATGGAACTTCACTTTGGGAAAGAGGCAGTAAATTTTATTATAGTTCGAGATGATTCTCATAATTAAACCATTTTGGTCATATTTTCAGCAATTTCAGAATATTTCAACCAAATTTTACTCCACCAAACTAGCTCAAATGACAATTTAGGACTGGATCATATGATCCGCCAAGCATGATGTGTTTTTTATTAATAAACAAAGTATCTCCATGCTTGGGAATCTTGCAAGTGAAGTAAAATAAGCAGACTATAAGAAGCAGAAGGATGTAACCTTTTTAGCTATAACTTGACCTCCGGCAATATGGGAGAAGTATATGTTGTAGAAATGGCATAGAAACAAAGGGGGGTTCTTCTCTCCAAGTTCTTCAAGATAATTGGAGTAATCAACACCAGGATTGCTAGGTTCCGGAAAATCATTTCCTTGTTCGCTTAGCCACTCAAGATCTCTCGATATACAATCTGCTCTTTCCAATCCAGTATTTCTGAAGTAAGCATCTGTTTCACACATGCACAATAACATCAGCATCTTTTATCAGATTCATTCGCCATTCACAACCAGTTAAATTGGAGGCCGTTTGAGGACCTACAGTTTCAGCTTTTAATTAGACATAGTCTTTGTTTTTAAAATTAATCATGTGTAACAGTGTTAGTAGTTTTTCATTTTTACAGAACAACTTTTTAACTGAAATTTTAGCCGTTTCTAAGAAGTTGGACATTTGTATCTAATGATTATGTTTTGAGCAGCCTGGTTTAAAATTTCAGTCATTCTCATTTAACTGAAAACTACTCAAAAAAATTGTGGCATCCTGACAAATTTAATTATTTTGAAACCACTTTTTTCAAAAAAGTGTACTCGAAATTGATTCTGAATATAATCGAATAATTGATCTCATTACTGAAATAACCTCATTTTTTCAGCTATCCTGAACAGCTCTTCAAACATTTCAAATCCAATTTTCAGATTTCATAGCTATTGAGCTTCTCTTTTCTGAGCTGAACAGATTAATGTATGAAACAACTAATGAGGAAAAACAATGTAACAACTAACAAAAGGAGAAGAAAACATACAAGAAACATCACTGGTTTCATCAACAGTGCGTTCGATTATGCTGAAAACCAGCCTGCTATCCACAAGGTACCTTCGGAATCCTTCCATGGAAGGCTGCCAGTACTCCCCACTTCCACTACTATCATTGGCCTCTATGACTTCTTCTTCCTCGTCACAATCCTCCGAATCTATCCCACTCTTAGCTCTCCGCTTACTTTTTGGGCTGCCATTGTTGCGGAGTCCCATCGCGACGAACCTCATCTCTTCCGCAATGCCCTTCTCCTCACCAGGGTATTGCTTTCTGTACGCCCTTCTTTGCCGCCTCACAGGGGGGAGAATCACCATCGGCGCGGCAGAATATGGCGCCGGCCTGCTTCCGGAATCCAGTTCTTCTGTTTCTGGTTCCGGCTGCGAGAATGTTGCCCGGGAGAAGTTGGGGCTTGAACGGTGAATGGAAGAGATGGGTGTGTCGGTTCTGAGAATGGTTTGGTTGAAAGAGGCGGGGATAAGTGGGAGTGAAGTGCAAAAATTGGGAGTGGACTTCTTGAGGTTTGAGGGGTTCAGGGGGGTGCCGCTTGTTCCTACAGCTGCTGCAAAAGAAGAGGAAGCCATTGCTGCAAACCTCTTTTGCCGCAGAGGCGGATTCAAAAGGGATCAATTGCCCCTCAATCCCAGTGCCCCTTTCTAGATTAAACACAAATATTTCTGCGAAGTATCAATCAGAACACTGTCCGGCCACCAATGGCTGTTTCAGGCGTATTTTTTTTAAGAAAATTGCAGCTAAGAATTGTCAATTATATATACTATCCCCTATTTATATGTTCCTCTTTTGGCACAATATTTTAGGATAGAATAATAAAGGTAGTGAGGTGTGTTTGGATATGATTCTCAAAACTTATTCTGCTCGTTCAGGAAGCAGATGCAGAAGTTGGAGTGTTTGAGTGAAATTCCAGAAGCACTTCTGGTGCTCTAATTTACTTCTAGAATCAGTTTTTTTAGAAGCTGGAGGTACCAGCTTCTGAAAAACTGATTCTAATTCTGCTTCTGCTTTAAAAAAGAAGTAGAAGCAAAATGAGTTCCAAAACTTACCTAAAATGGAAGTGCAGAGAACTTTTAAATATATCCTGAAAAGGAAAGTGTAGAGAAGTTTTAAACATATCCTGAAAAGGAAAGTGTAGAGAACTTTTAAATACAGGGGGAGTATTATTGAGTTAAATTGTGTTTTTAAACATATTTTGGTGACTGTAAAAAAACATATTTTGGTGCATTTTTCAATAAATTATTTAATTGATTTCTTGATTATATTTTAAATTTAAATTTTGTGGACATAATTTACCATTCATAAAGGGTGCTACAAAATTTCTTCAAAGAATTCCTCATGTGAGCACCTTAAATTGATTAGGTGCAGTGAGAAAGAAAGTGTGTGTGAAGTGAGTAATAAAGTAACTTTATACTCCCTCCGTCCCTAAATAAACTTCCAACTTTCCTTTTTCGTTCGTCCCAATTAAAACTTTCACTTTCCCTTTTTGGCCAGAATTTGTGGTTCACAGCAATTCTTACAGATTTCTCTCTCCTCTGCACAACTCTCCACCACACAATACCCACTATCTTAAACTCTGTGCCAAACCTATTTGGAAGTTTAATAAGGGACGGAGATAGTATTAAAAACTTATAAAAAATAAAAGTGTGAACTTTACTATGGGTATGACTAAATATGAAAGTATGAACTTTATTTGAGATAGGAGGTAGTATAAATGGATAGAAACTAGACGATTCGGGTCATATTAGGTGTGTGACACTGTGACTGATCTATTCTATCTAGCTTGTGCGATCAAATTTTTTAAATGAAAATAGTTTATTCAATGTCAGTATCAAGGGATGAACACTTATGATTTTGTAGGTCTAGCTTCAACCTATTAAGTTAATCCTAAACAATACTTCTTCCGTAACATTCATATCTTCTCATTTTCCTTTTTTAGTTGTAACATTTATATCTTCACATTTCTAAATCTTCTTATCATATCCTCAATAATTTTAAAAATAATACACTATTACAACTACTTTTTTTGGATTTATCTTACATTCCATCACATTATTCTACTATCTTCCTATCATACCCCCAATAATTTATATTTTTCTTCACTATTCATAATCTACCTACTTTTTGAAATGGGAACATATTTACGTTATGGAGGGAGTAATATTCAGCGTTTTGAAAGAAAAACATAACATGGATTACAACTAAATCATCCTTTCACCATTTATAATTTTCATATATATTATAAATTCCAAATTTTCACATCTACAAGTAGGATCATGTCCAACGTTACACGTTGTGCCACATAATCATTGTGTCAAGAAATGAAGTATAATAACAATGATAATGGTGGTGATGGTGGTAGCGGTGTACCTCACAAAATATAAGAACCCCAAAGTGATCATAATTTTTTATCGATAATGAACACATTTAGAATGATAATTAGCAGTGTTCATGTTAAGAATGTTAGCTTCGTTCTTCTCATCCATTTTTCTCTCAAATCTTGAATATTACCTATGATGTTCTTAAACAAGCTCACAACCTTGTAGATAGCTTGACTTTTTGTTGTAAGAAATGTCACAACATATCATATTTATCAATCACAATACTTTCTTAATAAAAATAAATCGATAATGCTCTATCATTATCAAGCTACTCGCAATGGCCCTTTGATTTTAAGTAAGTATTATCATCAATTCAAATATATTATCATATACTCCCTCCGTCCCTAGTAACTTTGCCAAGTTTGACCGGCACATGGATTAATAAAGTAAAAACCGTGTGATAGAGGTTTGTGCAGAGGAGAGAGAATTAACTGGAACTACAAATTCTTTACTTTAAAAGGAAAGTGTCAAAGTTACTGGGACATCCAAAAAGGGAAAGTTGTCAAAGTTATAAGGGACTGAGTGAGTATACGTGTACACTGTAGAAGATCACATACAAATAATGCGAACAATGGTTGTAAAATGTGAACTCTCAGATGATCTCACCATTTTAGTAATCACAGATACATATTTAAAGAAATTATCCACAAATTTCTTTGTATGCAACATCCACGTAAAATGCTGAAATTGGTGTGAAAGGAATGAATAGATCCTTGAACATCCACGATAAGAGTCCTCAATTCATTAAGCTCACCATATATTATTAGAAGTATCATCATATCTTTGACCTCTAATTATGAACAAAGACAATTCATACTTTGCGAACATACCACCAATACCACTTCCTAAGTAATGGTTGTGTAAACATGTCTAACAGTAAGCAATTATTCCATTATAATTCCATAATCGTTAAAATGTCTTATAACAAATTCCGCGTGTTCTTTGGCGAGATCATTACCTCATCTAAAAGTTATACAAAATATTTTTAACTGGATAGGGGGTCACTATTTTTATCCTAAGTAGGCAAGTACTAATACTAAAGTTCGGGATCGAAAGCGGGACACTTACCCCAGACCCCCCCTAAGTTCTCCACTGTTTTTATTGATATATTAAAATACATGAATGATACTCCGTGTTGTTTGCTTTCAATTCTACCAGCTACGCTACAAAACCACATTTTAAAATATAATCGTAGATCCAAGCACACCCTTGGAGATGTTTGCCGGCTGGAGGACAGGGAAGGGAAGAAAAGTTGGACCTTTTATATTTTGGGTGATTCTATATACAGTCCTTATTTTACTAATCACAGCCCCATAATTTTTAAATACATATTCTACCCTTCAAACTAATTAGAACGACGACTCCTGCAGAAATCTTTCTTCCAATAATTCACCGACAACCAGTCTTGATTAATTCACCGAAGCAGAGCTGCTTTCAGCATAGATGAGGAGATCACGAGTCTAACAAACAACATCAACGTGGTCTCGGGCCTGGACTTGTACAACCCGTTCATTTCCTTTATTCCGGTAGGTGTCTCCCCCAAGAAAGCCAATGTTTTCCAGCTGTAGAAATGGCAGAGTCGCTGCAACTCAGCAAATCGGGGAACTCGTTGAATAATTATTAAATTTTCAATACTTTGGTCACAACCCTATGAATTTTCTCATTTCGAAGCGTGCTTTTCTTCCAAAACCTTCCCTGTTTCCAGCTTTGCTTTAAAGCTTTCTGTCCAAAACAAATTAGAAAATTACCTCGGACCATGAAGCGAGTCACAATTTCTTGGTTAATTCAACAGTAATTAAATATCACATCATTAGAGTATGAAAAATGAAATAGAGGGTTTGTGAACTTCTATTTTGCCACTTCTATATGAACAGGGGCTTCAGAAAAGCAAGGATTACACCGAACACTTAATAGAGGTTTTTTTTATTAAAAACAAAAAAAGAAGAAGAAAGGATTACACCAAACAATTATCGGATTCCAAGCAGCGATCATAGCCGCACCTTTCTAACTAATCATCATCACCCCCACTTCCATCATCGCATTTACAGCGGTAGGCCAAAAGCTTTCTTGTTTAAGCAACATCCATTCCATGGGGCTGTTCCCGGGTGTCGTTCTTGAAGGTCGGCCATCACAAACAGCAGGAGTTGTATTTAGTATAGGGATATAATAGACAATTAGTTTAATTAGGGGCTGTATTTAGTAAAAAGCGGGTTGTATTTAGAATTACCCTTATATTTTTAATGATACGACATCGTTTGAAGACGGCTGAAAAAAAAGTAAGAGCTGATTGGGCCAAGTAAGGCCCAATTACCAGCAACCTGCAGCCCAAACCAAGATAGCCCATTAGCTAATCCAAAAAACAACGCCCAGCAAGCAAGTAGCAGTGACGGTCTTCCGCCAATCCGCCCCTGCCCCTTGCGCAAGCAGCAACCAGCAGCACTGCAGCAGTGAGCCACGCCGGACGCCGCCACCGGGCCGCCACCGGACCGCCACCCGCCAGATCTCCGACCGCCGTGCTTCCGTCGCCCGCCTGTGACTTGCTGGGTAGGTTTTCAATTTCCCGAGTTTTTCCCTTTATACTAGTATAAATTAAAATTTTGGTATTTCAATATAGATTTTTTTAAATTCATAATTATGATTTCAAAAATACGTAGTGTAAAATAGTTTGAATTAAATTTAATGATTATACGTTAATGTATTATTTCTATTAAATTAAGAGTTTATAATAGTTTGAATTAATTATTTTTGTTTTTGATATTTATTATTAGGGAATAAATTGAGAAATATTTCCCCCAAAAAAACATTGATACTTTCCGGTGCTAAATCTCCAAATGTTTCTGTTCGAGCTACACCTATAGACACAAATGGTAGTGGGAGTGGGAGTGGGAGTAGGATTAGACAATCTATTACTGATTCATGTAATAAAATGGGAGATGATTATCTTACTGATTGTGTAGTCTGCTACGTAGAAAGAGATGTGTTTAGACGCATCGATAATAAGGTTTTATCCAACATTTTCAAAACATGAGGACGCGTAGGTTGGATTTAGCACCATTACATTAACCCTTTTGATTAAATTTGTTATGTTTTAATGTTTTATTAGTGTAATCTGTTATGACAATGTTATTATTAATGTGATGATTTACATTATGTGATTGTGCCCCCGCTTAAATTCTTTTCTAGTTCCGCCTCTGTGTTCAATTAATTAGTTGTAGTTTTCTGAATTTTCTCATTAATGAAAGTTAGGAACATAGGAATTGTAATAAAAAATCAAGTCTTTATCTGGTTTTTTATTTTCAATTCAAGCTTATGTCTTCATTTTATATTGTTGAATGTAATCCCATTTTTTAATTTATGTCTTGTA